ACCGGATCGCACCGACGTGCGCCCGCACGCTGGAAGAGGGGAGGGGGGAGAGAGGGGGGATGGGGGGGGAGGATAGGATTGAGGGAAGGGCAGGTTAGACAATGGTGTCACCGTCGAGCGCCCACGCTGGAAGACGGGAGGAGGCGGGGGAGGAGAGGATAGGGATGGGAAAAGGGCAGGTTAGACAACGGTCGTCATCGTCGAATGCCCACATGCTGCAAGGGGGAGGGGGGGGAAGTGGGGGGAGAGAGGGGTGGGGGAAATAGGGATGGGGAAGGGCAAGTTAGACAATGGTCATCACCGTCAAGCGCCCACACACTGGAAGACGAGAGGAGGGGGGAGAAGGGAGGGGAGGGGGGGCTGCGGGGGGGTGGGGAGGATAGGGATGGGTGAAGGGCAGGTTAGACAATGGTCGTCACCATCGAGAGCACACATGCTGGAAAGAGCGAGGGGGAAGAGAGGGGGGGGGGGGTTGGGCGCATAGGGATGGGGGAATGGCAGGATAGACAATGCTCCTCACCATCGAGCACCCACATGCTGGAAGGGGGGAGAGGGGGGAGAGGGGGGGAGAGGGGGGGATAGATAGGGATGGGGGAAGGGCAGGTTAGACAATGCTCATCACCGTCGAGCGCTTACATACTGGAAGGGGGGAAAGGGGAAGAGAGGGGGAAGGGGGAGAGAGGGATGGGGGAAGGGCAGATTAGACAATGGTCGTCACTGTCGGGCGCCCACACGCTGGAAGAAGGGAGGGGAGGGAGAGGGGGGAGAAGGATGGGGAAAGGGCAGGTTAGACAATGGTCGTCACCATCGAGCGCCCACATGATGGAAGGGGGGGGGGTACGATTGGGGGAAGGGCAGGTTAGACAATGGTCGTCACTTTCGAGTACCCACACGCTAGAAGGGGGGAGGGGGGGGAGGGGGGAGAGAGGGGGGGGAATAGGGAAGGGGGAACGGCAGGTTAGACAATGGTCGTCACCGTGGAGTGCTTACACGCTGGAAGGGGGGAAGGGGGGAGAGGGGAAGGGAGAGAGAGGAGGATGGGGGAAGGGCAGGTTAGACAATGGTCGTCACCGTCGGGCGCCCACACGCTGGAAGGGGAGGGGGGGAGAGAGGGATGGGGGGGGGGAATACGATTGGGGGAAGGACAGGTTAGACAATGGTCGTCACTTTCGAGCGCCCACACACGCTAGAAGGGGGAGGTGGAGGAAAGGGGAGAGAGGGTGGGGGGAGATAGGGATGGGGGAAGGGCAGGTTAGACAATGGTCGTCACCGTCCAGCGCCCACATGCTGGAAGGGGGGGGGGGGATACGATTGGGGGAAGGGCAGGTTAGACAACGGTCGTCACTTTCGAGTACCCACACGCTAGAAGGGGGAGAGAGGGGGGGGAACAGGGAAGGGGGAACGGCAGGTTAGACAATGGTCGTCACCGTGGAGCGCTTACACGCTGGAAGGGGGAAGGGGGGAGAGAGGGGGAAGGGGCAGAGAGGGATGGGGAAGGGCAGGTTAGACAATGGTCGTCACCGTCGAGCGCCCACATGCTGGAAGGGGGGAGGGGGAGAGAGGGATGGGGGGGGGGGGAATACGATTGGGGGAAGGACAGGTTAGACAATGGTCGTCACTTTCGAGCGCCCACACACGCTAGAAGGGGGGAGGTGGAGGAAAGGGGGGAGAGAGGGTGGGGGAGATAGGGATGGGCGAAGGGCAGGTTAGACAATGGTCATCACTGTCAAGCACCCGCACGCTGAAATAGAGGGGGAAAACATTGAATTAGGGGCAGCATACCCCTAAAAGGAATGGGGAAAGTACTAGGAGGGAGAGGAGTAGCACTTACTGGTAGCAAGGGCCTTGCGGCGGGGGATGTGGGAGAGGTAGTCTGGCAGCGGGCTGCGCTGAGAGAAAGTCTCAGCGGCCAGAATGCGAGCGCCCTTCCTCTGCTGGCCGGCCACGCCCTTGCCTCCCTCAGGAGGCTCCTTTGCGGCGACGTCAGTCGCTCCCTTGATCATGTCCCTCGCTCCACACGCTGCGACGGCCAGCAGCCCCACCGCCAGCGCGGCCAGTGACAGCAAGCGATTGCCCCACGCCATGAGAGATGGAAAACGAGGGTGAGCGAAAGATGGATCGAGAGGCGGATCGAGGTGGATGGCTGCCGGGGATGGCTGTTTGATACTGAGCAGAGCAGCGGATTGAACCTAATGACTCCATGGCTGCACATGGCGGCGGTTTTAAAGTAAGCGTACGGGAGTATGACGGAGTTCTTGACAGGCAAACATATCGGAGGAATCTTTGCTCGCACGCGACTGAGTCGGGCGAGGAGGGAACTGCAACGGAAGTGGTCCAATCGGTACGAGAGAATTGCATCTGTATGGCGACTCGGGAAGCGAAACGCAGCAAGCTTCGCAAATGTCGCTGCGAGTTCGCCCATCATCGCTGCTGTCGCCAACAGTGACCCCACGGCTGTACGACAGTGGCGACAATGCTCAATGGATATGCGAAGAGTTGATAAATTCGACCCGGCCGCTGGTCGAGCAAAGATGCGTAGCGACGCGATCAGTTCTTGAAAAGAGCCATACGTCATAAGCGGGTCTGGCGTAGATCTGGTGATCATCTGCGAGCTGGCAAGCACTATGAAACGTGTCCGTTAATATTCCTCACGCGCCGTGAAATTGTAGGGGCTCGCTGAGTCACCAGTCAACGAGGATTGGCTGCCATGACTCAGCGTGGGCCCATTTGTGCCCATTATGACCTGTCTTCGTATTCCCACTGCACATCATCAGCATATGGAGCGCACGCAAAACACTGAGTGCAGCGCATCATTTTCCCCCCCTCCCTCCCCCCGCTCCCCCCCAACAAGCGCGTGCTTGTACGATACCCCAACACTTGGGATTCCACCACACAGTAACACAAACTCAGTATCTTTGTTATGATTTATAACTGAGTGCGCGGAATAATAATGACGAGTACAAGAATGGGAGCCTAGCATTATATAGCGAGACCTCTAGCTAGGCGACGAGCCCGGAAGGCTAGGTTGGGTACAGGTGCGGTCGAAAGGGCCGGAGGCAGCGCGAGCCAACCTCGGGGTTGCGTCGGAATCAGACCGAGCCTGGTCTTCCGAGAGTTCGGGTGTACGCGATTGCAATACAACACGGTAAGGAATAAAATTCCTTTCACTAACCCCCCCTCCTAAGGAAGGTGGTCAATATCGGGAACATCTTTTCATGTCAAATAAGATTTGATCACCGAGTGTTTCTGAAGCGAGTCGGAAGTGACCCACGTGTCGTCTTCGCTTGTACGGTCGGCCCAGCGGACAAGAAAATCCACGTGGCGGCCTGTGGTGTCAAGGCGGACGCGGTGACTCAAAAGCCGGAACGGCTCAAGGGTCGGTTCGACTATTGGGCGGACACTGGGGACGGCTGTCAGTAGTGCAACTGCTGACGTGTTGGCGACGTAGGGACAAAGGAGGCTGACGTGGAATGCATCGTGAATGTGCCACTCGTCCGGTAGTAATAATTTTGCCGTGACAGGTGTCACCATCTTGAGGATGCGGAAATGCCCACAGAATCTTGGGCGGAGTTTTGATGGCAGGGGCAGGCGGAGGTTCTCCGTGTCGAGAAGGACTAGTTGCCTAGCAGCCATCGCAATATTTCGGCGATGAAGGTCGGTATAGCATCGAGCCGCAGTGTTGGACTTTCGAATAAATTCAATCCCTTTTTTCCCGGGCGGTCTTTAAGTCGTTAGCAAATTGCTAGGACCGGTGCACTGGATTGTCGTCGTGGGAACGGTGGGATCCATCCCGTAGTTGAAAACAAATGGTGAGTGATTAGTCGCCGGGGATAGGGCGTTGTTATAAGAAAATTCCAGCATGGGCAGGAATTCTTCCCATCGGGCGAGGTCGGGGCAGTTGGTGCGTAGCAGTTCCTCTATGGTCTGATTGGTTCACTCAGTGTGCCCGTCGGTTTGTGGGTGGTAGGCGGACGAGAATTGCAGGCTGGTGCCGTACTGTTCCCATGTATTTTGCTAGAACTTGGACATAAACTTGGGGTCACGATCGCTGATTCTCGCTGTTGGTAGGCCGTGCAGACGAACGATGGTGGAGATGAAGGGTTTTGTTGTTTCTTCGGCTGTGATTGTCATACGACAGGGTGCAAAATGTGCCATTTTCGTCAAGCAATCGACGATGACGAGGACGGCGTCGTTGCCACTTGCGCCGATCGGAAGTTCCGTGACAAAGTCCATCGTCACGTGTTGCCACGGCTTCTGGGGTGGCTCGAGCGGTTGCAGCAGTCCAGTTGGCCGCTATCAACGGTCGTATCAGTATCAGTGTGTCAGCAATGTTATTCACCCCACGTTTGTACGTGATGGTATAGTGGAAGTTGCTCTCGAGGAAATCCAGCCAGCGAATCGTTGGTTGAGGTTCGGCTGCGCGCGGAGGTACTGTAGGGATTTGTGTCAATCCATACTGTCGCGTCGGCTCCCGTTAGGTAACAGCGCCACACTTTGAACGCGTGTACGATGGAGAGCATTTCTTTGTCGTGGATGGGGTAGTGCTCGGCTGCGTGCAACTTCTTGGACTCGTACGCGATTGGTTGGAGTCCGTCGCTAAAATCCTGTAACAATACCGCGCCGATGGCAAAATCGCTAGCGTCCGTCAAGACTTCGAACGGTCGAGAAAGGTCAGCGATTCAAAGGACCGGGAGTGACATCAGAAAAAATCTGAGTTCATCAGAAGCAACATGCTGTCTCTCCTCCTACTCGAATGAAGTTCCCTTTTGCAGCAGGTCAATTAAAGGTCCGGTTGTCCCCGTCATATTTCGGATAAATCGTCGGACATAATTAATGAACCCGAGAAAACTCTGCAGCTCCTGTAAATCTGTGGGCGGCTTCTTGTAGTCCCGGATGGCGGTGATCTTATTCGGGTCCATTTTGATGCCGTCCACTCCGACGATGTGTCCTAAAAATTCCAGTTCTGATTTTAGGAACTCGCACTTAGAGAGCCCTTGGTGATGAGTCGATTCTGCTGCAGCCGTTGAAAAACCCAGCTGAGGTCCTTGAGGTGATGTTCCTGTGTCTTGCTGAAGATCAGGATGTCATCCAAATATATGATGCTGCACTTGTTGAGTAGATCCCGGAACACGCCGTTCATGGTCAGTTGGAATGTAGAAGAGCGCATTCGTGAGGCCAAAAGGCATTCAGTAGGTAATCCAGCTAGCTCCGCAACTCCGTGCGTTCAGGCTGAGTCAGCCGCCACTGTGTCCAGACGGTTGGCTGCGCGCCAGGTTCCAGGTCAATTTTATGGTCCTGGGGCGCTCAGGTGGCAATCCGGCTGGCAGATCATCCGGGAAAATATCAGGGTACTGTCGAATCAGCGCAGCGAGCTCGGCATGGATACTGGCACAAAGTGTGTCAATGTCTTTTGGCGTGTCGTCGGCCGTTGCTTCGGCCAAATGGACGGTGTACAAATCAGCTCATTGGAGGGTGATGGCGTTGACACGTGTCGACACCGGATCCCGCCCGCGCCAGCACGGAAGTACACGCCATTCGTTTGCACAGTTCACGCTGCATTCGCCAGTTGTCAAGTCAATCCTTGGGCTGTATTTTTGCAGCCAATCACGTTCGAGAAGGATGTCGCAGCCATCCAGCATCGTCACTAGCATGGGCATGCTGGATCCGAAATCGTCGCCACACTTCATCCGCACCATTTGCGCTCTTTCCTGAATCGCAAGTGGCGTCCCGTTCACCATGCGCGCATCAATTTCGGGTAAACACTTCTCCAATGTCAGCTTCAACTGCTGCGCTGTTGTCACGTGGATCAGACTGTGACTAGCCCCGCCATCCAGAAATACCTTTATTTTTTTTCATACTGTTTCCACGTGTGAATCGTGGTCGTACCGAATATCGTTTCTGCCTATTGGTTTGAAGAATCCAAAGTCCCGTCCCGGCTTGAGCTTAATCTTCATCACAGTTACAGTGCGCACGTCGTCCTGCTCCAACTCCCGTGCGAGCTCGTCAAGGACAGTTTCGCTCGCCTCGTTGTTGGCTTCTGGCTTCACATCATTCTCAGCGACTCCAGGCGACTCCTAACACGCTTCACCACGCGTCTGGCGAAGCTCGATTTTCTCCGTCCAAAGTCTCACGACTTCACCATTCAAACTTGCCATCTGGGTTTGCATTGCCTGCATCTGAGCCATGACCTTGTCTAGCTGGGCCTGAGTCATGATGAGAAAGCAAGGTGAACTAGGAAAGTAACTCTAATACCAGATGTTATGAAAATAACTGAGAGTGCGCAGAGTAATAATGACAAGCACAAGAATGGGAGCCTAGCATTATATAGCGAGAGCTCTAGCTAGACGACGAGCCCGGAGGGCTAGGTTGGGTAAAGGTGCGGTCAAAAGGGCCGGAGGCGGTGTGAGCCAGCCTCGGGGTTGCGTCAGTATCGGACCGAGCCTAGTCTTTCCGAGAGTCCGGGTGTACGCGATTGCAGTACAACCCAGTAAGGAATAAAATTCCTTACAATCGTTGCAAGAATGCCTTCCAAAGCCTAGGTTCATGTTTCAACAAATTAAATCAATTGCAAAATCGTAAGATTTGTATGTAGCTAAGATTACCGTTTAAAAAACATGTGGGAATAATTTGACCGCACACTCATCTTCCTTGTTTATTTGCATTACCATTGCGCTGGTCAAGATGCGTATGGAGCATCCAACACACTCATCACTTCGCGCTAAGCCAAAATGATAGATGGCTACTTCTTACAAAGGTGTAAAAAATGTATTCCCGTTTTAGAGATTTACCCAAGGACCAGGGTTTCGTGGAATCCCTGACAAATAAGTCAGCGGAAGACATAGTCATTCTTGTACTGTAAGAACAGTGTATTAGATAAGAATAATACACCAATGAACACATTGGGTATATATAGCAGGAGTAGTTCTGTTTCAAAGTAACCTCTTGAAGAAACCTCTAGGCAAAACCTTCTTCTGTAACCTTACTCGCAACTTCTCGCTGCAACTTTCATAGTACTTTTCTTGGCAAAACCTTATCGTATGTTTGCTCAAATCCACGGATAGTGGTTAACTGTTGAAGTAACTTGTTTTGTGTCACACTCTCTTGAGCTTGGTGCACCTTGCATAGGCTATCCTAGTCGTAGTACGCGGGAGCAAGTGTGCTTTTGAATTGGCGTGTGCCGTTCTGCTCCAAAGTTGAGAGGTTGCGCACCAGCAGTATGCAGGCCATAAGCGAGAGTTGGTAAAGAAATCCTTCCCATCAAAGGTGCTCGAGGTCTGAAACTTCGAGATGGTAAGGAAATCCGCTTGATTAACAACCGCAGTAGCGTATCAGAAATCCGTTTGAGTTGTCTTCTTGCTCTTGTTGTTCTCTCGTTTCCATTACTGCAGCAAATTCAGCTGTAATATCCTCCTCTCCAGAAAGCAGGCGAAGAGGTAGAATGGTTGGAAGGCCCTTGGAGTAAAATTTGGTTAAAAGTTGAATCGAGAAATGCTTTTAACGAAATGTAACATAGGAACCCAAGATGGGAGTTGTGGGTTTTGATGGAATCCACTTGCTCATAATATAATGTAAAAGAAATAACCACTCGCAACCACTTGCTCCACTTGCTCAACCTCTTTCTGTAAC